CTAAGGGAAGAAGGAGGATTTGAGTACAAAAAGGCCATTGTAGATTCAATCGTGATTCTAATCAGAGATATCCCAGAAGCGAAGGAGACTGGATTGCTTCATTTATGTGAGTTCATTGAAGATTGTGAATTCACATATCTTTGCACACAGGTAGCATTTTTATCTTATCTGTCATGCTCCTTTTTATTTTTTCCCTTTTTTTGTCCCATCTTCATTTAAATTTGTCTCAACATTATATTATAGATACTTCATTTTCTGGGGATTGAAGGCCCAAAAACCTCAGATCCAAGCAAATATATACGGTACATTTACAACCGTGTCCATCTTGAGAATGCAACTGTTCGGGCTGCTGCAGTTAGCACCCTAGCAAAATTCGGTGCTATGGTTGATACACTGAAGGTATGAAATCGTAATTACACTCTTTCATTTTTGTGAAGTATTCTCATCCTGTGATTCATTGCTCACCTAATTAATCTGGAAAATCTTGCTATTTTTTGCAGCCCCGCATATTTGTTCTCTTAAGACGCTGTCTCTTTGACAATGATGATGAGGTCAGCTTATTATGAATAATGTCATATTTGCACTTTTGTATTTTATGCTTATGTATGCATTATTGTCTGTTTATTTGTTATTTGTGTTTGTTGCTTCCGTAATCTCTGGGAACTTGAATATGATGTTTCTTTTTCCCTCTTAATATTCCAATAATTTAAGGACTTCTAAACCTTTTGTTGTAGGTTCGTGACAGGGCTACACTCTATCTTAATACCCTTGGTGGTGATGGTGCTGTTGTTCAAACTGGTGATGATGTAAAGGAGTTTCTCTTTGGTTCACTAGATATCCCTCTGGTTAACTTGGAGAACAGTTTGAAGAATTATGTGAGTTCCTAAATTTTGGTTACACTTTTTCTGCATTTACATCATCTCATGTATTTAATTTGGTCCAGGAGCCATCAGAAGAGTCTTTTGACATTAATTCTGTGCCAAGGGAGGTCAAGACTCAGCCACTTGCAGAGAAGAAAGCTCCTGGTAAAAAACCAACTGATCTTGGTGCTCCTCTTGCTGGGCCTCCATCAACTGCTGATGCTTATGAGAAGCTGCTTTCATCAACTCCTGAGTTTGCAAGCTTTGGCAAGCTTTTCAAGGTACTTCCATCGACTTTTTCGTGTGTGTTCAATGCATTTAATGTTGTAGACATCATTCCAATTTTGAAATTTCTAATGCCTTGTTTCCAATTTTTATTGGCCAGTCCTCAGCGCCTGTGGAGCTGACAGAAGCAGAAACTGAATATGCGGTTAATGTTGTCAAACATATTTTTGATGCTCATGCTGTGTTTCAATATAACTGCACCAATACCATTCCAGAGCAATTATTGGAGAATGTAATAATACAATTACACAGCATCTGTAAATTACTTAAAAGTTACAGAGTATCTCCATTACTTAATCTGCGTTTTACCAGGCCACTGTTATCGTGGATGCTTCAGAGGCCGAGGAGTTTGCTGAAGTTGCTTCAAAGCCTTTAAGATCACTTCCATATGATTCACCTGGACAGACCTTTGTGGCATTTGAAAAGCCGGAGGGGATCCCGGCTGTTGGAAAGTTTTCAAATATGCTGAGGTTCATCGTAAAAGAGGTATGGCTTCTCCGTTTTGCTCTGACATAGTCCGAGGCTTTTTATAATGCTCCATTATTTGAAAGTGCAATCACCAGAAATCAGGTTTAAATTGGATCTGGACTATCACACTTGGAGACTACACCGGGTTTATGTGGGTTCTGGATGATTGTGTTTTGTGAAAAATCTCATTTACCCCACTCTCCTTTTAACTTAAATTGAGGGGCATTTAACTTACATTAATACGCTGTTGAGAGTGTGTTTTCGGTTTTCCATTCCTATCTCATGCTTCCATTGGTCTTGCTAGGTTGATCCAAGTACTGGTGAGGCCGAGGATGATGGAGTAGAAGACGAGTACCAATTAGAGGATCTTGAAATTGTTGCAGCTGATTACATGTTAAAGGTGGGTGTCTCTAATTTCAGGAATGCTTGGGAAAGCATGGGTGCAGATTGTGAACGTGTCGATGAATATGGCCTTGGCCCCAGGGAAAGCCTGGCTGAAGCTGTTAATGCTGTTATAAATCTTCTTGGCATGCAACCTTGCGAGGTATGTGTACGGTCTTTTTTACTTTCTTTTGCTCTTATGCGGTTGCAATGGATATGCATTTTTCTTAATCTTAAATGCTTTACAATAGACGAAAAGACCTCTTTTTTTCACTGCAATTCTATTGTAATTGGACAATCTTTTTGTGGTGGTATCCATCCAGGGCACGGAGGTTGTCCCTAAAAACTCTAGATCGCATACGTGTCTTCTGTCCGGAGTATACATTTGCAATGTCAAGGTGCTTGTGCGGTTACAGTTCGGACTTGATGGTCCAAAGGATGTGGCAATGAAACTTGCTGTTAGATCTGAAGATGAAGCTGTTAGTGATGCAATTCATGAGATTGTAGCCAGTGGCTAGGTTGTCATAAATCGAGTGCTTTTGCCTCTAATCCGGCTCTTATATATAATTATTGTTTTTGTGGTTTTACATCGGAAGTAGATGCTGCTGCAAAACCCCGATAAGCTCGTAGAAAGAACTGCAATCCTCGTATTGTCGTTTTACCTTACTACTTTATACAAAATTCTTATGTGGGAATTATTGCATACATCAAGCTTTGCTCGAGAGCTACATTTCCTCTTCTCAATTGTCATGAAAAGAACTCATTACTTTACATGTAATCAGGAATTCGACATTTATATTATGAATTTTTTGTTAGGTTAATATTATGCTAAATTTGATAAGCCCCTATTTGAATGTCTATATAAGATTTGATATTAAATATAGACAAATTTAAATAAAAGTTAATATAACGACTATTTCGAATTTTTAATAAAAATAGTTATATAATTTATTTCAAATTTAAGTTTTTAAGAATCAATTTAACTTCTTCGGCATTAAAAAAAGTCATGTTTCAGCCTTTTTTTTTAAATGAAAATGTATATATACATAGAAATTTTTAATTTGGATTAGATGATTTCTAACTTGATCAAACACATATTTTGATAGATACAAGTGATAAGATCATATTTTATAGCACAACAAATCACCAAAAAAACCACTTGTGGTGCGAATATACCAATACAAATGCTTGAGAGATGAACTGTTTCTGGGTTTAGGGTAATGAATCCCTAAATATAATCTGTTGTCATAAATAAATAAGACACTATTAAATCCTTTATATAGGTATATTATTAGTCGATTACTTCTTTCTCAAGTAACCGTTTGTCAAGAATATTATGAATTAGCTGCTTACTTGATTGTTTAACTTATTTTACTATTGTATTAAATTTGTAAATGACGTATTTAAAAAATTACATATTAAATTAAAAAAAATCAAAAAAATCACATATTGATTGTAAATTAATTTAATATTTATACTTATATTAAACTATTAAATAAAGTTTAACTTATTAATTACTAAAATATAATATATTAATACAAATATTGTAAATAATTAAGTGAATTAAAAAATTCAAATTTGTGTGGGCTTTGGGTGGAGCTTGGGCTGGTTTATTCAAAATTTTATCGACAAAAGTTACTTGAGGAAGAAGTAGCCGACTTATACATCTATATAAAGGATCTAATACTGTCTTGTTTGCGAAAACTGATTATATTTAGCAGTCAAGTAGGGATCATTATTCAAAACCCAGAAACATTCTTGTTTGTCCATCACATAACAGAAGTCAAAACCAGTATCGTTCGTAGTAGATCGCTGACCAGAACAAGAAGTATGGAGATGCTTCTCAAGAAACCAGTGATTGTGAGACGAGTCTTCGCAGATGGGTTAGAGTACGAGTTCGCGTTGATTAGGAGTGCGATTCCTATGTATCGTTTTGTTTCGATGGATACTGAATTCCCCGGTACTATCTTTGAGCCCAGTAAGCAAATCATCCAACAAGGTAACCCGGCTATCAACTACAAGTTTATGAGATCCAATGTCGATGCGTTAGAAGTAATCCAGCTCGGGTTAACCCTTTCAGACTCCGAGGGTAACTTACCAGATTTCGGTACTGAGTTCTGCTATCTTTGGGAGTTTAATTTCAAAGACTTTGATGTTGATGAGGATAACTGTGATATGGACTCGATTGAATTACTGAAGCGACGACTTTGTGAAGAATAGAGAGAAGGGGATTGCTTCTAGTGATTTTGGGATATTGATGTGGAAATCGGGCTTACTCTGCAACTGTTTTGGAGACTTAACATGGGTTACCTTCCATGGCGCTTACGATTTCGGTTTCTTGATGAAGATCCTAACTCAACGTCCACTGCAGGTTGATTTTCATTGTTTTATGCAACAATTGGTTTATATTTTTGTTGATAAGATTTTTGACATCAAGTATACTTTCAAGTTCTTCGGATTGTTTGGAGGTTTTTGAATACAACCAAAGTCCTAAGATACTGACTGCACTTGAACTTTATGGCCTGATTTCAGTTCTAGGATGAGAATTCTTTTAGCTTTCTTTGTAATTTTCTTGTCTATGAGACTTTATTAGTTACCGATTTCAGTTTACTTTTGCTTTTATTTTTAAGATCAATACTTGAAATTGGAGAAAAATTTAAGTGATATATTCTTTGAAATTTAATTAGCATTCAAAATTAAAATTGTTTGATGTAATAAATATAAAACAAGAATCTGCAACAACATACAATTCCATCCAAGTAACAACGCCCTGGCAAAATACCAAAAGTTTCGATATGTAATTTAGCCAACACCAGCCTTTCACATAAGAAAGGCATTAAAAGCTTTCAGCTTTCAGTTTTATGTACAAAGAAATCAGTTTGACTCTACACATCACTGCACCAATCTAGAAAATGCACAAAAGACCGACGGAGAAAACTGAACCCTCCATCATCGAGGTAGCACTGAGGAGGTGACTAATCGCCTAACAGCCTACCGCCACCCACCACCATAGCGCAAATGCAGTTATTTCTAATCGAGATTTTCCATTCGAGGAGGTTGAGTTGCCCTGCGAAACCATGTATCGAAAGCTGTGATCAAGTGGGGGCAATCTTCGACATTTCGGGTTGAGAAGCTGAGACATTGTTGCAACAATACTTGTGCATCCGACATTGGCAGTGTCGAGATGATTCTCAGGAATGTCTCCTCCATTTCCAGGTAGAGTGTTTTATGGCTGGGGAGCATAGGTGAGACATTGTCTTTGCACACAAGCAGAACGGGAAGCCATTCTTTCACAAGCTTTATTCTAACCTGCAATGTACAGAAACTAAACCATTTTAACAACTTATGACAGACAAGAAAACAAGAAATACTCGCCTTCTGTACAACTAAAGCACCACAAATGCATAACAGAATTTTCAAATGTAATGAAGAGTTCTTAAAAACTAAACAAGCAGGCAGCAGACCATATCCAGGTAAATTTCGGCATTACCCTCCGATCTTGTAATAATAAATTATATTTTATACTCCTCGTTCATCGTTTTAATCCTAGATTCAACACATTCGTTCATCGAGATCCTTTCAAAGACTCGATGTTAATTAAATAAAGCTTTAAAATCCTTTCAGCAACTAATTGAACATAGCCAAACTTGGGGTTTTTTTCAAGAATCGGCTTATCAGCAGAGCTTTGAAAGACTGAAACAATATCACATATTGTATAGGTAATATAATATGAATTTTAAATAGAAATCAACTTGCTCCTATGGGCGATCAATTCCCAAAACTTCATAAAAATTCGCATTCACATACTTAAAGAGCAACTCTCACCGATCACCGATCACATATACCAATTTATAAGCCATTGTATGATAAACACTGCACATTTATTTAGTCAAAATAACAAGCAAGAAACCGATACCTGTCTAGCAGCCAATATAGTTCCAGCAGCAACCGCATTGGCAAGCTTACAAGTACACCGAAGCATAACAGCAGGGAATCCCGGAACAATATTCCTCCAAGCATCATCCCTAAACGCTCTCTGCAAATCCGCCGTAAAAGAAGCTTGCTCACTCCATTCCCTCTGTAACACCCCAATTTAGGGGTTAAATTTAAGAAATTATAAAGTGGTGGATTTAATTGATATTTTGAAAGAAACAATGGATTAAATTGTAAAATTTCAAAATTGACAGACCATGCAAGAAATCCAGTGACTAAACTCATGATTTACTATTTTTCTTTAGGAGTTAATATAAACCCTCATTTTCCCGTGTATTTCTGCAGAAATACACTCATAATTCCTCTCCCGGTCAACAACTTTCAACTCTGACCTACTCGTCGTCCGACCTCCGATGGACGAGCCGAAACGGTCATCGTGTTCGTTGTCGAGCGAGGAACAAAATCCCTCAGACCTTTCGTCGTGAATCGTCGACGTTCGTCGTTAATTTCAGTCGGAAGTATCTTGGTAATAACTCGATTTCAAAATTGTGAACCGAGCTTTGTAAGTATCTCAGAATCGTTCAAAATAATTTTTAAGAATTTTTCCGTGATTTTTAGGCAGCCGGAAGGAGCCCCACGCGCCGTCACTGTGAGTGAGAATGGTCCAAATGACCGGTTTGACCAGTTTTGGAGCATATTTGACCGGTTATAACCCGACCCGTTGACCGTTGACCGTGGACTGGTGTTGACCATTGTTGACCAAAACTTTGACGGGCTTTGACCGGTCATTAAACGACCTTTAACTTTTGACCGAGTATACCTATCCTGACATTTTTCGACGTTCCAAATCCGATTCCGCAGTTTGTTTTTCGAAATTCGGACCCAAAGGCCTCGAAATTGGCAATCAAACCCGTTGACTTTGATTTTGACTGAAAATTTCAAATTTCCGAAAAGTCATATTTTATGCTTTCGACGTCCTTAATACGAGTCCGAAGTCCGTTTCGCTAAATTCGAACCCGGTAAGCTGTTTTTCACTGATTTATCACCCGATTCGATCTGTTTATCGTAATTAAGCTCCGTTTTTTATATAATTTATGTTGATATGTATCTGAGGAATTATTGGAAGTTGAATTGAAGATCAAAGGCGTTCGAATGGAATTTTTATGGTCGATCAGTATTGCACGGAAATCGAGGTAATACTTTACTACCTCTTTATGTTTTATAGAACATGTTGGTATTGGTAAATACATGAATGGAAATGTTTGGTCTCATATGTGTAATTAATGAAGATCTACACTTGATACGAATACGGTAGCAAGTATGTAACTGAATATGGCTCAGATTACTATTATAAGAAATTAGAGGACAGTTGAAATTAAATTACAAGTTCTGGAATTAAGTGATAAAAGAATCAGCCATGGATATGTAGATTTAAGTGATAAAAGAATCAGCCATGGATATATAGATTATAATTTATCTCATTAAAGGTACTTAGATGATAAATTATGAGAATATTTCGATTAGGTAAAATTACGAAATTACCCTTATGTTGGAAAATGATAAGTATTGTCCCTGGAAGTGGATTAATAATCTAAAAAGAATTATTGATATGATAAAACTATTGATGTGCATAAGAAATGTTAGTTTTACTTGGAAATTATGGATAACCGGTTTTTAACCCAAGAGGGTTTATGCTAGATACTAGAAGTCTTTTAAGGAATCATTTCAAGATCAAGAATGTTCGAGGAAGCAATTAATCATAGGATCTCTATATATATTATTTCGTTAAGAGCTAATATTGAAATTATCTGGTTAAGAATTACGAAAATGCCCTTGAGAGGTAAAATAGTCTGAGTTGACTCTGAATGAGAAAGTACTTTGAGGATTTGTACTTAACTCGATTAAGTACGAATTTAATTATTAAGATCATGTCTTTGTAAAGAAAAATTCATGATATTTCATTTGTAAAATCTGATAAGGCAGTTGACCCAAAATATCCGAGTAATGAGTAAATACTTGAAGAATAATTTATCGGGGTATTCTGTTGTCAGAATTGTTCGAAAGGACTGAAATAAATAATAAGATTGAATTTAATAGTAAGATCAGATAGAAGAAAATGATTAAAATACACTTAATCTATAAAATGACCAAAATACCCCTGTAATAGAAATGACCCAAGAATATCACCAAGCTCATGAATGATTGGATATCCTCGAGCTCTGAAATGAATAGAATAAAACTGAACACCAAAATTACCAAAATACCCTTATGGCCTATATTAAGTAAATGTCTTGGATTAATTAAGGAATCCAAATAAGCATAGGTGTTGGACTACCTTTAAAAGTTATGGAACACAACTTAAGTGAGCCGATCAACCTTAATGATATGTCAGTACCTGAACGGCATAAATATTACTTGAATGTGTGTTTGTCTACTCAAGTTTGGTTCGATGATAATTTTGGGAGTATTCAGCTCAGCTCAACTCTAGATCGCATTCAGCACTAAGAATTGGATATTTGTTCGACAAATCAACCACAAAGACCGAATTAAAATAAACGAAAGTACAATATGTATCTGAAATTCAGACGTTGACTGCTATAATGGACTTGACTGCTAAATAAGCTAAGTAACCTCAATGATTGAGGATTAAGTAAGTGAATTGGATAAGTCTGGAAATTCTGATGAGTTTATAAGATGTACTGTCCTTATGGAAGATGAAATACAAATCAAGCACGTCAGTATTTCATGATACAGTGGAAGCATGAAAATGGAATAAAGACATTGAAAGATTTATTCAGCGATGATTCCGAAGATTATATATGGACTAGAATTTGTGGTATTAAAGTGTAAATACCCTGTGAGGACAATGAATTGACCAGTCGATAAGCATTAGTTCTGGGAGTTATTCATCTGGAGTTATTCGATAATCTAATCAATCGACAAAGATTGTAAAGGATTCGGAATACCCTTATGATTCGTTAAGCTTCTGAAAAATGTCTGAATAAGATATGATCCTGATAAATCACATTATGAATAACTGATGATTCTGTCAGTTATTGAACTCTTCCAATAGTGATTCTAAATTCTGACATTCTATCGTATATGAAAGATCTTTATTTCTTCTGCCTGATAAGATTATCCAGTACATCTGAATAATATCTGTAAACTCTGGTGTGTTCCCTAAACATATAAATATTTTATCTGATTTCCGACTTGAATTCTGTTTTGATTTCTGATATGGGTTCTGTTCTGATATCTGTTCTAAATTCTGTTTTGATTTCTGATATCTTCGTTTACTGACGGAAAAATGTTTTAATTTGGGGGTATTATTGAAGGAAGTACTTTCGTAGGTTCCTCGGCTTTGTGCTCAGGGCCTTATAAGTTGTGTGGGTTGGGTGTATGGTTCTGGGGAACCTACACATTATGTTGTATTGGAATGGGGGTATATATATATATATATATGTTTTAAAAAGATCTAAAAAGTTACATGGTTTTTGGGAACACACTAGATAATCTATTACGATCTCCTGAACTCAGTCATATAAAATATTTCTCTGAATTGAAAGCTTATTGTCCGTTACCACATGAAATATCAGTAGGATCTCTGCCCAGCATAAAAATCTGTAAATGTTCGGAAATAATAAGGAAATATATATTTATTTGTATCTGCACATTCATCAGCATCATCTGGTAGTTCTGTATTACTGAGCTTTCCAAAGCTCACTCTGTTACTCATCTTTTCAGGCTAAAAGAATTGTACAAGTGCAGCTATCGACTTTAGTAAGGGAGTTCTTCTGGTGCTGTTTGCAGAGAATGGTACATGTGATTAGAGGGCATGTAATTGTCTTGTTTTATATACGAGTCTGAAAATCTGTTTTATTTCTACATACTGATAAATCGTTATATAAGTTACATGTTTTAATAAAAGTTTTAAATTTTTCGCTATTTTTTACAGTGGGTCGCTCCGGTGGCCCTAATGTGACACTCCATATCGGATCGGGTTATTCACATCGATCTGAGAGGGTTACACCCTCACAGCTGAATCTGTCACCCTCACCTCTCAACCAACCACAACAAATGTCTACCATTAGTTATCGCCGTTTGCAAATTCAACCTATGTATCGCCTTTGTCTCGTTATGATCCCCTCTAAAATCGGGGCTTGTATACTCCTCCAAGCTATCCTTCACAACCTTCAAACTAGTCTCGAACGCCCTCTCCAAAACCCTCCTGGTTGATTCCCGTGACGAGAAATCCCTCAGAAGCTTGGCCACAAACGCTTTGATGACGGCCATGTTGTGATGGTTATGAATCGCCGATAAAATCAAGCCGTGCAACATATCTTCACACGAATCATCCTTCCCCGGCGAAACGCGGGCAAGAAGTTTTTAAAAGCAGATTGAGATGCCTTATTAGCCCGTTGTTTGGTGGACAAGGAAAAATTTGCATTAAAGTTATAATATGATATAATTCGTATACGATATTTTTTAATTATATTTTATTTTTTAATTATTTTAGTTTAGCTGTAGCCATAGATTTTGAAAGTACAACTATATTTACACTAATATTTATCAATGTATTTACTTATATTTGATTACTTTTTTGAGGAATTTATATTTGATTAGTTTAATCTAATGGAATTAAGTCAATCAAAATCAAAGCACAAGAAGTCCAAACCGAGTCAATCAAATTACCAAAGCAAAATTCTTGCCGAGGCCTAAAATGTACCGTTTTGTTAGGAAATAGCTAAATTTTGTGATTAGCAGGTTAATGTTATTGCCATTAACTCCACATGTTTCTATTATTATCCACTTATTCGACACGTATCCTCTTAATATTCCACCTCTTACAAATCAAAAACAATAAACCCCCCAAAATATATATATATATATATATATATATATATATGTATGCTCTATCTCTCTCTCTCTTTCGGCTTTTAACTTTAAAGTTGACAGAAAAGAAAATAAAAGGAAAAAAGTAGCTATAAAATCATTTCAAAGCTCTGGATCTGCACTTCAGACAAAGTTAAGAAATATCTGAGAAAATTTGAAATCTATTCGAGCATTTTTTTCAGAATGGACGCGAAGCTGATAGAGAGGCTGGAGGCCGCGGTGGGACGGTTGGAGGCTCTATCGGCCGGCGGAATCTAGGCGAGGGGATTACCGGATAGCGGAGTTAAAGTGTCTTCGGATCCATCCATTCTGGCGTTTGACGATCTGATGGCTGAATATGGAGCTAGGGTTTCGGCTGCTGCGGAGAAGATTGGAGGTCAAGTGCTGGATGTGACTAAGTTAGTTATCGAGGCTTTCTCTGTGCAAAAGAAACTTCTTATCGATATCAAGCAAACTCAGGTTGCTATTTTTCTTTTCTTATCTTATCGATTATGTGAAATGCAGTTAAATTAGATTTACATGTAATGCATTTATAGCTTCAAACTGTCGTTGCGTTGATTTTGTAGAAGAGGATTTGGTTTTAGGTACAATTAGAAGATAATATATCTCATGGCTTTGATTGCAGAGATTGTCCCTTTTCCTCTTTGAGACTTGACTATGATTGTTTCACGACCTAAGAAAGCATGTAATTATTAAGAATTAAAATTTTTAGTCACTTTTAAAAAAAATAATATTAGCAGAGAAGCATTTAAGTGATAGAGTTATTAAGAAACTGTCTCAAGATTTTGTCGAGGAAATTAACATTTGGTGGCTTGCATGTTTTGTTACGGTAAAGAAGTTTGTTTTTATGCTAGGGCAGGAGTATTGATTGTCTAGGCGCTATCTGCTTTTACTATCATGTATAGTTTTTTGTGGTTACTATTTGTTTCATGGAATTTTTAATGTCTTCCATTCTATTGGTACAGAAACCTGATATGGCAGGCTTGGTTGAATTTCTCAAACCACTGAATGAAGTGATCTTGAAGGTTAATGCTATGACAGAAGGGAGGCGATCTGATTTTTTCAACCACTTGAAGAGTGCTGGGGACAGTCTTTCAGCTTTAGCATGGATTGCTTACACTGGAAAAGATTGTGGTATGTGATCCATGTTGTAGCGTATTTGTACATAGCAATGTCTTCACAATGAAGTGATCCGCGTGTAGGGTGTAGCTTAACTCCTTAACTTATGTTGAAAAAAATCAGGAGTCTGATTTATAATATTTGTTTAATTTGTGGATTTACATTCCTGCCTTGGTTCAAAGCTTGAATTGGGTTCATGCTTTCTTTCTAGTCACACTTTGGGAAAATTTTGACCCCCACTTGTGGTTGTCATGCTCTTGACTATAGCCCTTTTAAAAAAAATCATATGGCAACTGCATATGATTTATTGCCACTTGCTCTGATTCTTGGTAATGCTTTTCTTATTCTAGGTATGAGCATGCCTATCGCACATGTGGAAGAAAGTTGGCAATTGGCTGAATTTTACAACAACGAGGTACTTCTTTATTTGTAGGAAGTCACAACTCGATCTGGAAACTGCAACATGTTAATCTTCTTATCATTTCCGTGTTGTTGTAAATATCAGGTTCTTGTAGAGTACAGAAACAAAGATCAGAACCATGTTGAATGGGCCAAAGCTTTGAAGGATCTGTATTTACCAGGTCTGAGGGATTATGTCAAAAGTCATTACCCTCTTGGTCCAGTATGGAGTGCTTCTGGTAAAAAGGCATGTAGTGCTACACCGAAAGCTCCTCCCCCTGGTGCCCCTGCACCTCCTCCACTTCCACCTGTCTCTGTTTTCAGCTCCGAACCTTCTCAGCCTTCTTCATCACAGCCAAAACAAGGGATGTCAGCTGTTTTCCAAGAAATTAGTAGTGGGAATCTCTCTGCAGGTAATCATATTTCCCTTTCTTCTGCTTTTCTGTCGATTTTGAGTGACTATGATCTCGATCTTTTCATATCTAGGCCTGAAGAAGGTTACTGCTGATATGAAGACAAAGAACCGTATGGACAGAACAAGTGTTGTTGGCGCCAGTGAAAAGGAAACACGTTCCAGCTCCTCTTCTTTCTCAAAAGTGGGACCACCAAAACTAGAGCTGCAAATGGGTCGTAAGTAAGTGTGCATGATTTCTGTTTGCTTGTTTTACTTTATTTAGGTCATAGGTGGTTGGTTTCGGTACTTGACTTTTCAAGTGTCTCTTCATTGTAACATTGGCAGGTGGGCTGTTGAGAACCAAATTGGAAGAAAGAACTTAGTAATTGATGATTGTGATGCCAAACAGTCTGTATATTTATGGATGCAAGGATTCTGTTTTGCAGATTCAAGGTAAATTTATTATATCATATGCACGATTCTTTTTTCCCACTTCATTGTGCTTTCTTTTTATGTGTAATTGTTTACTTTGGCACTGTGAATCTCTTTGTTATTTGAAAGAGATAACTGCTGAAAAGTTACAAGCAACTTAATGTTTCTTTAATATTGTGTAGGGAAAGTAAACAATATAACAATTGACAAATGCACTAAGATGGGAGTGGTATTTAAGGTTAGTAGAGAGAAGAGCTTTTTACCAATGAGATTTTCCAAAGCAAATCATATACTCATTCATGTCTTTGACTTAAATTGGGCAGGATGTTGTGGCTTCTTGTGAGGTAGTAAACTGCAATGGCGTTGAGGTGCAATGCCAGGTATCTTTCTTCTTTGTCTTCTTCTTTCTCCTCTTGACGTAGATACCTTTAAAGAGAATACCAATCATGGTATCAAGTTGCATGGCATGTGAAGGTCCTCTGTTCCATGCTCTTTGATCAGTGTTGTTACTAATTGATAGTTGTATTACTTATGTTCATCTACTTTGTGGCTGTTGCAGGGTTCTGCTCCAACAATTTCAGTGGACAACACATCTGGCTGCCAGTTGTACTTGAGCAAAGATTCTTTGGGGGCATCTATAACAACAGCTAAGTCAAGCGAGATCAATGTATTAGTGCCTACTGGACCTGATGGCGATTGGGTAAGTTAAGTTTTTTCCTGCATTTCTGAAAGCTTTCTTTGTGACATGTCTTTCGTATCTGTCAGTTTAAATGAGGTATCTGCATTTAAATTTGGTCAAAATATGCCTGCCAGTCCCTATACTTCAAAGTTTGAGATTTAGTCGTCGTACATAAAAATTAAATCCTCTTTATATTTTCAAGTCCAATTGTTGACACAATATTTTCCATCAAATTTTGCTTACTATAACTATATTTGAAAAGATAAAATTAAATCATCCTGCTTCTTTGATTTAAAAATTATAGTCCAATCATAGACAGTGTTCTGTCAGAATTTGCTTACTATGCTTATTTGACCAGGATTTTAAATAAAATAAGTACAAGGATTGAATCGTTAACATTTTAAGCACATCGACTAGACCTCAAACTTTATTCAAGTACAGGGACTGTTGGACCAAATTTTTAACCTGACCTCTGTTTTAGATAATTTAGGATGCATTAATGTCAGTAACTTATCTTACCTCACATTTTTAATCTGAAAATGTGGTGGGTTAATAATTTTATTAGACAATGGAGAATCGTGTTGGTTTACTTTTGTTGTTTTTGGTGTCAGGGGGAGCATTCTTTGCCGCAACAGTATATCCATGTATTTAAGGATGGCCGGTTTGAAACTCAGGAGCTTAATTCAAACCTTTTTTTTTTTACACTTAAAAAGGTTTTTTTTAATATCCTTGGATACACATACCTATGGGGGTGTTTTTTACTTATTGGGTACCTTTTTATTAAAATTATTGTATCACGTATGGTTTGGTCATCATCTGTGTTATTTCAACTCAAAAACAGCTTGAATCTTTTCCATGACTATTTGTTTATTTTTTGGTGTGTTTTGTTATATTGGAGATGAGTTGGGAATTTTTGCTACTTTGTTAATGTTGTTATTGGAATTTTCATTCTATACGTATACCAATATCATCTGCCACCATTAAGTACTCTGATGAGGCATCATATGTAGGATTCAACTCATATTTTCTTTATGTGCACTTTGCATGTATGAAAAAATTTAATTTAATTTAATTATTTATATCATGCATATGTTTTAACGTTGAATGTAAAAAAAACATCTGTATAGTTCGCTTATTTATACCATAAATATTCTTGAATACATATCAAAGAGTTTTAGTTCACAAAATTAATTAAATTTCAAGGAAATGTATTAAAAAAACAATGAATATAAATAAAGAAAACACTACAAAAAAGTTTACATTCTAAACTCATCTCACTGCAATCTTAAAAGTAAAAGTGTTAGGTGCTTGCCAGTTGCCACTTCAACCTGAACAGGATTCGAGAACCAGTACAATATGAAAAAACGTAAAAGTAAACTGATAATAGTAATAAATCAGTTCTCATCCTAGAACTGAAATCAGACCATACAGTGCAAGTACAGGAAATGGTTGGGGACTTTGATTGCAAACAACTAGATTATCAGATCTTGCTTGATGGCTCGATCCTATTAGACGAGCCACATTCAGCATTTTCACGACCTTTTCCAAACCATAATCCATTTGATTTAATCTTATAGAATGTGAATTTTTTTTCAAAAATCTGGGTTATGTCGGATTTTTTATAAAAAGAATAAGGTTAGGGTTGAATTTAATTTATGGTGAAAAATCAAAAATATATGATTGCCCGTAAATTATATTTTACTTGAACTTTTCATATTTAAATATAAATTAGAGAAAATAACCTCAGTGACCAAAAATACCTTATAATATACGATTTTAACTAACTTTTTTTTGGATTTGCCAAAATGACCAACTAAATCGCAATGCGATCGATAATTCGCAACGCGATCTCCGGTATCGCAAATCAGATTCCAGATTCGCAACGCGAACTTCGACTATCGCAATGCGAACTTGGACTATCGCAATGCGAATATGTAAATCGCAATACGATAGTCGAAACTTGGACTATCGCAATGCGAATATGTAAATCGTGATGCGATAGTCGAAGTTCGCGTTGCGATTTTCTAAATTCGACTATCGCAACGCGAATTTCGACTATCGCATTGCGATTTATATATTCGCATTGCGATAGTCGAAGTTCGCGTTGCGATTTATTCCAAATTCGTTACGATAGTCCAAAATCGCAATGACTTGTGGTATTGCATTTGTTTCTTAAGAATTTTCTCTAAAAAGATAGTATTCGCGCGGACGTGTCGAAGACACGTATTACCACGACCCGACCACGAATTTGAAAAAAATCGCAACGCAAACTTCGACTATCGCAACGAATTTGGAATAAATCGCAATGAATTTGGAATAAATCGCAACGAATTTGGAATAAATCACAACGCGAACTTCGACTATCGCAACGAACTTGGAATAAATCGCAACGCGAACTTGGACTATCGCAACGAATTTGGAATAAATCGCAACGCGAACTTCGACTATCGCAACGCGAACTTGGACTATCGCAATGCGAATATGTAAATCGCAATGCGATAGTCGAAGTTCGCGTTGCGAATCTGGAAACTGATTTGCGATACCGGAGATCGCGTTGCGAATTATCGATCGCATTGCGATTTAGTTGGTCGTTTTGGCAAATCAAAAAAAAATTGGTTAAAATCGTATATTATAAGGCATTTTTGGTCACTGAGGTTATTTTCTCTAAAAATTATTATATAATATTTTTCTTTTAGTTAAGTTTTTATTTTATTTAATAAAAATGAGAATTATTCTTATATATATTATCGAATCAGATCAGATGTGTTTTATCCTAAAAGTCAAATCGAATTTCGATTAGATTGAATTTCTTTAAATTCGGTCGGATCAAATGATGAGAGAAATAATATTATATTCAGATCGAATTCGGATGGAAAAAAATCCGACCTGATCCATAATCTGGTCGCACGTCCAACCCTCACACTAACTTACGCATTAGAATAGGGTGCTGGAGTCTCAACTCCAACACCCCGTAGTTTCGATTTGCTCCCTTCCGCCTAGTTGTTTCTCTAGAAGCTCCTTTCTTCACCTTGTACCTCGTCTTCTCTAGAGGCTATCAAAAACTACCTTTGGCTTTATCATCTCAATATCGTCACCAGCTACTTTTCTTACCTTTAATAAGAATAATTTTCTACCATTAATAACAAGAATGCTTAAAACAACAATCCATCACAGTCCAGTTGATTTAGATACTTAGTTTTTCACTTAAAGTTTGAATTTGAACTTTAGTAACGAAAGTTTCGTTTCAACCCTTTCAAGGGTGCTTTTATTTTAGACCAACTTTTTTTTGTTTTAACTAAGACACAGTTAATTGGTTTCTTGATTAAATGGTATGATTGAGAAGGAATAAGACAAAATTTCAAGTTATCAACTGATACATTGAAGCTTTAAGCAAATCCATGACCCCTGTTTTCTCAACTATGATAGTATGTGTTGGAGATTTCTCCTTAATTTCTTGCCAAAAAAGTTCCCGTGGTAGAAATTAACCTTTGCATCTTCTTGTTTAGCAAAATGGAGCATAAACACTCTGGTAGTGCATTATTTTGGCCGCGCTACGATCCAGTAGGGTACCATCAATGAGGAGGAAAAAAAATGGCCCAACAACCACATAAAATATTTTCCGTTGCCGGGACTTGAACCCAGGTCTCTCGGGTGAGAGCCGAGTATCCTAACCAACTAGACCATTAATGAGGAGGATTAAAAGATGGCCCAACAACCATGTAAAACATTTTCCGATGCCGGGACTTGAACTCGGGTCTCTTGGGTGAGAGCCGAGTATCCTAACCAACTAGACCATCAATGAGGAGGAAAAAAGGAGGGAAAACAATTACATAAAACATTTTCCGTTGCCGGGACTTGATCCCGGATCTCGGGTGAGAGCCGAATATCCTAACCAACTAAACTACAACGGATTACCATCAAAGAGAAATATTGGTAGCCTTTTCAATTTTAATTTTTTTTGTTCAGATCCAGCGAGCTTTGTTTACCGTGTTTCCAAAACTTGGCTTCCCTAGCCGTTGCATCACTTTCCAGCACGAGCCGAATTTGTATTTTCAGTCGTCTTCTTCACATTTATCTTACCTTTCACTAACATTTTCATGCTTGGTTTCGGATTTAAAACAATGCTCCCTGGATTGAATTTCTTATTTTTTGCTGCAAAGTCAGCTGCTTTCTACCTCTGGTTAATTGGTGAAGATAAAATAGCGATCTTTATTGGGATTTCAGCTAAAGTGTTCTTAATAATGGGTTATTCTTCAAATTGCCCCTTCTGATTGTATATTCTGAAGGTTTTCTCAAGCTGCCCTTTTAATTGGGTGATAAGAAAAGGCAATGAAATGTTCTTTATAGATGGTTTCAAGGTATATGAAGGAATGAATCCATTGTAGATTCAAGGTCGGCACTTTTTTAATGCCTTTACAGGATCATCTATCTTCCCTGGAATTAGTATTTAGAATAAGCAGAGAGGCTTCTGAAGATGAACTTCAGGCTGCACAGAACTTCCTAATTAGTAGAATTTAAAATGCATTTTGTATTAAGTTAAAGCTGGAGAATTTTATCAGGTACAATTCCGAGAATCTCATATAGTTATTATTTGCCTGCGAATGTATTGAAAACAATTCTCCAATGTATTTCCTGCACTTTCCAGGAAAATTCATTATAAAAGTGGAAGCAGCTAACAAGGAGAAAGGTCTTTTGGAGGAGGCAAAATGGATAGATTTGGTCCCTTTCCATTCTCTACTACAAATGCTGTCTTCAAACCCCACCCTGTATGAAGCTCCAAGTGACAGTGCATGAACCATACTCCTGCAACAACATCCAGATACAATTACTTTTCATTTGAATGCAATGTTTGATGTCTAGTTTCTGATTGATGTGTACCTGGATTGTCGGCCCTGAACCTTATGGCCGTCCATCCGCCTGTTGGTACTCCCACCGTGTTTCTTTCGGGAGGATCAACCAAGTTATATTTGGCAGGATCTTTGGCCGGATCGTAGTTCCCGATTCCAGTCCCAACGATGAAGAAATTGTAACCATGAAGATGGAATGGATGGGATTCGACAGTTAGAAGATTGGTATCCTGTAGTACTAACTCCACTGTCGAGTTGAATGAAATCTTGCTTAGCCTGGTGCCTAAAGTAGTGCCAAGATTTGCAGTCAATGGTGCGCCAGTGTAATTGAACGGTTTCGGAGGGCGGTCGGGGAAATCCGTGGTAAATACTCCCTTGATGTTGAAATAATGAGCTTGAAGGAGGCCGGTACGTGGCATAACAAAGGTAATGTTGTTCAAAGATGCAGTTAGTTGTGTTCCATTCAAGCAAGTAGCGCATTGGTTGATTCCTAATCCAATTGTGTAGAAAAGATGTCTGTCAACTTTAAGAGGAACATTTGTAGGGTATAATGGAGAGTTGAGGCTCCTAAGTTTGGCATTGTAGCTCAAGGCGAAGGCAGTATCATTGGGTAGTGGTAGCTGAGGAAGAACTGGAAGGACAGTGTTGGGAATACCCTTGTATTGAAGTATGGCCGTCACGGTTTTATTGTCAACCGTCAATGGTGCATCCATGAAAGGCCTAGCAGCCATGAAATATCTACCAGGTGCTTGGTTAGCTTGAATGAGAACATTTGTGGTCTGCCCTGGTGCAATTAAAATTGCTTGTGTTGTAAACGGTTTGGTATAAACTGCATCTATTTCGACCACCGTCATATTATGGCCTGCGACCGCAAAGAAAAGTTCGTCGTTGAGTGCAGCATTGATGATTCTCAAGAGAGATAAGTCTTTCCTTGTTCGACCTCCATTGCAAATGTATCTGCAGCAGCAGGATAAAAAGAAGTAAAGTATGAATGCAAGGCTTGTCCTGAATCCCCCAACACTCCATTAGAATGGCAGTAAAAGCTTACGTTTCTCGGAACATGGGAACAATGGCCCTGGCTTTCCATTAATGGTGTGAGCATCGGATGTATTTGGTGGCAACCCCAACTTGTTTCCTTGTTTAACGATTTCTTCGACATCGTTATTCCACCATTCACCTGCGTTTTCGATGTACAAGAGTTACATTAACCGTGTAACTAGAATGGGGCTCAACTGAACTCTCTCTACTCACCGCCATGGATCAAACATACCTAAAATTATGTTATTTTCTCTGTAAGGCTGAGGGAAAGGGAAAGGGGTCCCTTGTTTTGGCATGAGCACAATTGCACCATAAACAGTGGCTCTTAGCCAAAAGATATGTGCATGCCACCAGAGTGTCCCTCTCTGACCTGTTACATTAAAATCATAAGTGTAAGTATGCCCACTCTGTATAGGACATTGTGTTATATAAGCCAGTCCATCCGCCCATCCATTGCGAAACTGTTTGAGTCCATGCCTGCCGATGCCAAGACAGAAAAATCGTATGAAAACGACATGAGAATCACATTTTTTTCTCAGGTAAAGATGCATTTCTTACCAATGAATAGACATGTTGTATTGTGCATGATTAGTGACATTAATGAGAACTCTGTCGCCTTCTCTAGCGTAAATGGTTGGCCCCGGAAACATCCCATTTACAGTGACAATAGGTTTAGCATGGCATAACCGGCTAACATTTTTCACTTGAATCTGAAACAACAATAAACCAACCATTAGTCATTAGAAAACAAACCCAAAATTCAACCAACATGCCACTGTTTTCATATGCATACATCAAACTGGTATCTTTTCACTGCTGCATCTGCAGGAAGCGATTCGGAAGCGAGTAGATAGAGCAAGAAAATGAATGACACAGAGCTGAAAGTTTTGCCCATTGCCATCTTCTGATGAGACTTGGGGAGTTAAGGTTTTAGTTGGGCATTTATAGAGCCTGGAAAGGGTTTGTTCAAAGGTGGAACAAGGAAGCTTGTAAGCAAAAGATGAGAGGTACTTGGAACCAAACATTGTATGGGTTGCCTTTAACCGGAGAGCTTTATCGTTAAGGAAAAGTGTTGAGGTTTGCTTCAGATTCCAGCCGACGTGGGTTGTTCAAAATGTTTATTTAACTACATTTCAACACACATATAGACTCACCTGGGGAACACAAGGTGGAAGAAGAAGCTTCTCATTTAGTTGTTTGAATTGAATAAATTATGAATGTTAAAAAAGATGAGAGGTACTTGAAACCAGACATCGCATGGCTGCCCTTGGGCTGGTGAACTTTATCGTTAAGCAAAAGTGATTTGCTTCAGATTGGAGGTTGTTCAAAATGTTTATTTAACTACATGTCAATACAATGCTAAAACCTGGGGCTTAGCTTAAATGGTATTTTAGAGAGAAAACAAAATTGAATTCTAAGCCAAATTAGTAAGTGCAATTACTTCATCAACCATAGTAGCTATGCACCTACTATTATCTTTATATATTATTATTCACGAAAATCTAAAAGTAACGAAAACACTTTAAAACCAATTAGATATATGGCCTCTAGACCTACTCAGCAATGATACCGAAGATTTCTTTCACATTTTTTAAAGATAAAAATTAATTTTATTTACATTTGGTTATTTATTTGAATTGTCTAAATACGATTAGACTCGTCAAACACATGAATGATGTAACAAATTCTTTAACGTTAGTCCACAATATCGCTGAATTAAGACAAGAAAGTTGGACAATTGTTTTTCAGGGAACATCTCGAAAAAAATAAAATTACGAATGGAATGACTAAGCTCGTGGACCACCAACACTTCACATATTAATATTTATAATCATAAAACTCTAAATAAGATAAAAGATATTAGAATTCTATCTGTAGACTATTTTCTTCACCAATTGTATGAAATAATTTGTTAATGTTATTTATAAATAAAAATATCAATATTTCAAATAGTTACATTTTAATAATAATGTTTTAATATTGAATACCCAAATAAATTCTATTTAAAATATTGAAATATAATTCATATTAATATTGTAAAAGTATATTTTGGGCCTGTTTTATTTTTCTGAACATGTGGGCTATAAGCTGGCTTGGTAGTGTTCAGAACCCAGCAAAAACCCTAAATAGGATAGCTGCATGGTATATTCGTAATTTCACTATAAGTGTTGACTGCCTATAAATAAATCGCCAGGTCTAGATCCCTAACTACGAGCTTCGGGTCGATTCAAAATCAAGTCTTTTCATCTTTCTTAAGCTAAAATTTTCAAACCCTAGTGTATTTTATTAAACTTTTTTTATCCTTCTGTTTTGTTATTATTTTAGGGTTTAATAGGGAAAGAGAAGGTGCGATGATGATTTATAGAAAATTCAATCTCGTTAATCTGATTCGTAACATGAGGATGAACTTTTTCATCCATTCTTAGCAACTTCTGAGCTTCTCCTCTTTCCTTTCTTATTTATTCTTTTTGATTTTCTCTTATGTCTCGGATCTGACTTGATCTAACAACTGTTATAATGAAGGGCTTGGACCTGTTGCAAATTGCGTTAGAATTTCATAAACATATTAGAGGCTGGATGACATTTCCACAAGGGAAAAGCTCTTAATCGAACGCCACCAAGCAGCTTCAGAGCTTCAATTATACATGAAACTTGCCTGGACAGATTCCTCGATTATTTCTAACAGGCCCTAAACTTCCAACAACATATTGTGACCATAATCTATGGTTTAATGTCGTGTTCCTCCCATTAGTGTTGTTGAAAAATATCTGCATGAACTAATTAAACAAAGGTTCAAGTTCAATTTTGACAAGTAATGCATAGGATATTGTTTCTCAGGATTCCTGTTCCAAAGTAAAGACAAGCACTTGACTCGCTTGCTCCGAACAAATTTTACATATATTTAGTGAATCTCTGTGCCACTTTTTGGCTGTTTTTTTATTCCTTGAAATTGCAGTATGTGAAAGGAGAAAGAAAGCTGAGAGGAAAAATGGACCCAAGAAAGGGAAAAGGCAATATCTTCTTTCACAATCAACACAAGAAAAGAGAATCCAAGAGATCCTGCCTGCAAATGGCTAGAAAATGAATGAAAGCTGAGGCTCTCGTGATTCCAAGAACTAGTAGTCTCAATGATGTTGCAGGCAACCCCCCTTTCGGTGGTCCCTTCGGTGTTCACCCGGAAATCGGATGATCGCCTGTTCTCTCACATCCCTATGCCTTTATTCATACAAGTTTTGCTCCTTGTTGCTCATTATGTGCAGTTATGCACTAATTATCAGTGTCTTAATCAGAGCATATATCACTCAAGTCACGAAAGGGAGCCAAAGATGGTCCACTTGTAGGTTACTGCTTCAAGTTGTCAATTAAGCTTAATCCAACAAAGAAACAACTTGTTGCCAATGGAATCAAAGCCTTTGCAGTGAAAATGAAAATTAACTGTGTGATTGTTGAATAGGTAAAATTGAACTACACTGATCTTATTCATACCATTTGAGAGTATAATACAAATATTTATACATATGTACCTAATGAATAGAAAAAGAATCAAAATCAAAGGCATCTTGAATTATCTCAATCATTAATCATCAACTAATATTCTGATTTCACTTCTCCATCTTTAGGTCATTTCCTTCAATGGAACCTGCATAAATCACATCAGACGGATCAGGGGGGAAAAGGGTAGAAAATACCACTCAAGAAGTATTTTCATGGTTGCCAGTTCTTCTAAGGAACTCATTAGCATGATATGATAATTGTAACTGTAGATGACAATATTAGTAGGTCAAAATGTTTGCTTAGTCTTAACTTAAACAGAATAATGAAAAGGAAAATATAGTGCTTATCGTTGAAAATCTATGGTTTTGTTGTCATTGTGGAGTGAAAATGACCCTGTAATGGGACACTGTTCTTCCTTATAAGTAGCTTATCAGCATTAGTTGTACCTGTAAATGCCACATTGTAAAGATTCTGCAATTCAACATCACATGTTGCAGAGGGTTGAATTTGCTGCATTCCAGTGAAACAGGACGTGTTGAGGAACGTTGCGTCCGGTATCGAAACCGGGGCACTAATCGTTCTTCGGAGTGCCATATCGGAAGAGTTGATTCCCATTTCCACTCCACAACCAGAAACCAATTGTTGAATTGGATTGAATTGAAGATAGGGAGGGTGGTTTGCCAATTCCGTTGACATGTTCGCAACCGTCGGAAAATTAGTGGTACAAGAGGGAAACACTTCTTTGGCATAAAGATTGTCGATGTCAAAATCGAGCCTGGGATTTACAGTAGCAAGTTTCATAGACAAAAACTGCATATTTTGAAAATAAAAGCACCAAAATTAGCTGATAGTTCATGAATGTTCAATATATATACTTCCATATGTTCAGTTTTTTTTTGTTCATTACCTCGACTTGTCGTTGCAGAGATTGAACATAGTTGATGATTTCATCAAGCATTCCTGATTTGCCGGTGATTTTGTTACATCCAGGAACTAAATCTTGCAGATACTTCATTCTTTCACTGATTTTCTCTCTTCTAACCTGTATAATCAACATAAATAAACATTATTGGCTGATGATGGAGACTTAAAAAAACAATGAAAATAACACACAAATTTCACTCACTCTCTCGGCTAAACTGTGGCTATCGGTGGCTTGGCCTCGACGTGCCCGGACGTGAATATAATCGGGCTTTTGAACATCAGAAACCTTTGAATTCTCTTTGGAAGTATCACCGGAAGTTTCCTTCTTGTTGTTACTGGTTTTTTTGGTGTTTGGCCCAGTAATTTTCGACTCTCCTTCTTCAATTGCTTTGATCCTCTTGGAGTCATCTTCTGCAACAACCTGGATATATAATCCAAAGGGGAACTCCTATTTTAACGGCTGTTTTTAATAATGATATACTGTGATAAATGAAGGAATAGAACAACAACACATGTACCTTTGAGTTTTGCAACTTTTCAACTTTCCTTTTCTTGAAGCTTTCTCTTCCAACAGCTAAAGCCATCTTCTCTAAGTTGCCCTTGACCTCCACCGCTGCCGCCGCCGTCACGGCTGGAGGGAAGCTGGAAGTTCTAGATATGGCTTGATTCATATAAAAACTCTGTCCATTACCGTGCCCACACGGGCCAAACCCCATGGCACCCATGTCAACCTTTCCCAATTCAGGCCATGCGGTCTCCAAACCAGGGTCGGGCTTCGGTTGCCGAGTCATCACCACGTCGGGTAACACCGAGTCACCGCCACCAGCAACGTAGCTCATCAAACCACTCTGCTGAAAGCCTTGTACGTGGGCGGTTTGGCTCGAAAACACTCCACTCAACTCACTGAAATAACTTTGCTGCTGCTGCTGTTGCTCTTGCCATTTCAAGCGAGCCTTTTGTCTCTCGAGCAACGTCATGTCGGAACACTGTAACATCTCCTGCAATGCTCTATTCATGCCTCCGACACTAAAAAAAACAAAACAAAACAACAAAGCTTGTGGGCAATGAAGAAGTTCAGGCAGGTTTGGTTTATGACTTCATGCGGAACACGAGTTCATTGTGAGGGATAGTACCATATAACCATATATGATACAAGCTTATGCGATCTTTATTATTATTACTTGTAAATTCAGAGGGGATTTTTAGGTACATTGGGGAAGAAAAAACAAAAGAAGAGTGCTTTTAAGGGCAACGGGGAGAGGAAGAGTATGGTATATAAAGGGAAATAAAGTTGTTTATCAATGAATTATTAAGGGAAGCTGCCCATGCCTATTGACTTATTATCAAACCTCAAACTTTCTAAAAAATGCAACTTCATCACATATATTTATGTAAGTTTGAATATGATTATGATTTATAGTTCCATCAGAGAGGTGGGCAAAAGCACCATTGGATTGTCGACAGGGAAGGTCAATGAGTATAAAGAGATTAGACACCAATGAAGGACAAAACGGCATCTTCAGACTTGCAAAATCCAGGGAGAATAGGAAAAAGGATCTAGGTAGCATTAGGTTTATTAAGGACAACAATTGTGTTCTTTTAGTGAAAAATCATGATATTAAGAGGTTTGGGGTAGTTACTTATTTGGCTTATTTAATAAAGGTGCCTCTCCCTGTAGTGATAGTATCGTTGATGGGTCAGTCGACCATCATACTACGGCCAATGACTGCCCTACAAGTAGGATTGGGTTTGAATAAGTCAAAATGGCTCTTAGAAAGATGGGGAGGGACAAAGCTGTCGGTGCAGATCAAATTCCTATCACTGTGTAGTTAGCCCTAGGAGAAGAGGGAGTTAAGTGGTTAACCAATATCTTTAATATTATTTTAGAGACTGCCAAGATGCCAGATGAGTGGAGAAAGTTTACGGTGATACCAATCTTTAAGAATAAAAGAGATCCCCAATGTTGTGGCAACTACAGAGGTATTAAACTACTCAGCCAAACCATGAAGCTATGGGAAAGGGTGATAGAGGCTAGGTTGAGACATGTTACTAGGGTTTCGAAAAACCAATTTGGCTTTATGTCAGGCAGGTCTACTACGGAGGCGATTCATCTACTTCGACGGCTTATGGAGAAATATAGGGAAAAATAGAGATCTTCACATGGCGTTCATTGACCTTGAGAAGGCATATGATAGAGTTCCCTGCGATATGATCTGGAAGACCTTGGAAACGAGACGTATCCCAACTGCTTATATTCGGGCGATTCGTGTTATGTACTGTAGATCTACTACATACGTCAGAACTACAGTTGGCGACACCAAGGCATTCCCGGTGGAAATCGGACTCCACCAGGGGTCGGCTCTTAGCCCTTACAACTTCTCCTTGATTATGGACGACATCTATTGTGTGACACCTGACGGTGTTCCATGGTGTATGCTTTTCACTGACGACATTGTCCTAGTTGCTGAAACAAAAACTGAGCTGAATAGTATATTGGCTACCTGGAAGACTGCTTTGGAAGAAAAAGGTCTAAGGATCAATATTGAAAAGACAAAGTATTTATGTTCAAACTTCAGTGGGAACCAAAACGATGAAGATGTAGAAGTATGCATAGAATGACACGTTATTCCCTTAAATGATTGTTTCAAGTACCTAGGGTCTATGATACATAAGGATGGGGGTGTAGATGATGACGTTACACACCGTATAAAGGCGAGATGGCTAAAGTTGAGGGCTGCTACTGGAGTTTTGTGTGACAAGAAGGTGCCTCAAAAACTTAAGGGAAAATTTTATAGAATGGTAATAAGACCATCGCTGCTGTATGGATCAGAATGTTGGGCAATCAAGAAGGATCACGTAAGGAGGATGGAGGCCACATAAATGAGAATACTTCGATGGGCATGTGGTAGGACTCTGTGGGACATGACACCAAACTCTGCTATTAGGATGTCCTTGGGGGTGGTGCCTGAATCCGAAAAATTGAGGGAGGAAAGACTACGGTGTTTTGGGCATGTCCTTAGGCGACAACCGTCGGATTCGGTTAGGAGGGTATAGTCGATTACAGTAGACGGTGCCAGAAGGAGATGACGACCAAGGCGGAAGTGGGAAGACTGCTTGAGATCTGATTTGAAGGATTTAGCCCTTACCGAGGACATGACCTCTGATAGGAAAGTATGGAGACTTAAGACTAGGGTAGTCGATTAGTGTGGGTCACATCCATAGGGTGTAACATTTCTGTCTTCTTTTAATGTCTTTGTTGTAATTTCTATGGCTTCTACTTTTTATACGTTTCTGTCATTGGAATTAATGAAGGCTTAGGACTAGGGTAGCGGATTAGTGTTGCCTTAGTTTAGATTTTAACCCATTTGACTTTATTCCTTCTCGTAGCTTGCTATCGTTGACTTATGTGTATCATTCTCTTCATGTTTCCTCTTTTTAATTTTAGTCGAGTCTTACGTTTCTGTCTATATGCAGAGATTATTATGCAGGGATTTATTAGCAGGGATTACTTCCCATTACAGAAGCACATATGAAGATTGTATATGAAGACTGTTCAAATATGTACTTATTTATTTATACATGCATTGCATTTTATCTTTATTTTTAATTTTCTGACTGTCGGAGGTCTTCCACGGAAGCTGCTCTCAACCATGCGTTGGGGACAGCCTACTACCCTACCTCCCCCTTACCACATTGCATATGAGAACAGGGTTTTGTTGTTGTCGTTGTTTAAAACATATTTTTAGATTCTAAAACTTAAATCTTATATTTAAGGTAAGATAAGGAAACGGATCCAATTGAACAACTATTTGATAAGTAATTAGATAATTTATAGTTCACAAGTTTACAATCATAGTTGATTGAATCTAATTGTACTCGTTTTTATTTAATAAATAAATAATTTAAAATATTTTATATGTCAAAAATTGAATATAACATAAAAAATACTCTATACTAATTATTAATTATTTTTATTTATTAAAAATAATATATATAAAACATGTATGAAAGAAAAACTATGAAGATTTATCAAATAAATTGAAAAAAAAGCTCTTCAATAAAATTATTTTATCAAAATAAATTTTAAAAAATAATTTTCTCACCAATTTAATTATTAACCTCGTGATTAAAGTGTAGTTTGATTATCGGATTGTAAAATATTTCATTAATAGGTGATCTGATAATTAAAGCAAAAGCATAAGATGTAATATATAGCATATAAAAATCATCTTTTTCATATTTTAAAATGCATCACACAAGATGAGTTAGCTGACAACTTGAACTGTTATATGTGTTTCACTGGGTAGAGAGACAAGTATGAGTAGCCACAGTTGTTTTTTAAATTATCATATATTTTAATTTTTTTATATTGTCGGAACTGTCTTTCGGTTGGACCTCGAATTGGGTTTCGACTTAGATTAAATGAATTGGAGTCGCCACCAACCATTTAAACGAATTTAGGTAGGTCGGACACCATCTTACTTGATCTGCGTTGTACTAGAAACGTGTCGGGTTTGGGAGTCGGTTACGGTCAAAGAAGGATTAACACCCTTGAACCGCCTTTTCGGTACCAATTAATTCATCGATTGTCTTAACCACGAAAATCAAAATTTAAATTGAAATTTAAAAATTCAATTTGAATTAATTATCTTTTATCGATTGAAAGTATCTTTAAAAAGTCAAAAGTGTTAGATTTTAAAATTGAAAATAAACATGAGAAAATAAAAAAAATTAATATAATAATATTAATAAAAATAAATAAATAAATATATATATATATAACAATGTAAAAAGAAATAAAAAATATTAAAATTAGGAGAAAATATAAAAAATATATATAAAGTAAATAAATAAAAAATAAAATAAAAAGAATAAGTCAAAAGTTGTTACATCTCTTATGTTTTGAGTGTAGAGAAATTGGATTTGCAATTAAAATATTTTGTTACTCCTCGTGCTTTTAGATATTGATTTTGGATCCTCCACGCTTGTTTTTTGTCCTTTTCTTCCCTCAGTTTTTCTAAATCGTTGCCCCTTCCTCTGATTTTGATTCTACGTTTTTCTCTGTGTCCTTTCCTCTTGATGCATGAGTCTATTTATAGTATAAAGAAATCTATTTTTAACTCATATTTAGAGTTCTACTTGGACTCAAAATGCTTCGGTTTTAGTGTTTCAATAGGATTCAGATACGTTGGTTTATTTTTTGAATCTCACTAAATCGAGGTTGTTGAGTGTGAGGTTTGCAAAAATAATAAAATAAAAATATATTAATAATAATTAATAAAAAAATATATAATATAATAAAATATTTTTGTAAACCCTTACAAAAACAGGTGTCTACATATATATTTTTTTGTTTAAAAGTTTATTTTCATTTTTTATAATTTTATAATTTATATCTTTTTAAAAATTTAATCTTTTAACATAAAATCTCTATTAGATAAAAAATTAGCTGATCTTTATTCTCATATGTAATGGAGTAGGAGGGAGGTAGGATAGTAGGCTGTCTCCAACGCCAGGTTGAGAACAGCTTCTGTAGGAGACCTCCGAATTATGAAATATCATCCGTAGGACTCAATCTCACGAACTCAAAAAAAAATCTAAATCTAATAAAAATCTCTATTAGATGTGATGCATAAATGATGATAAGTATAAATCACATCTGGGATTAAGATGTACACGTATATAGAGAACAAAATAAATAATATTTTGAAAATGTATGGTCCAGATTCCTGGATAATTTATTATAATTCAACTTCTCCTCTTGCCATAACAACTGCATCAGAAATCTAGGCTGATTTCCCCCACAGAATCCTTTGTTTGCTAAAATTAGTTAAAATAATATTTAATTGTTAAATCAGTCAAAATATGCTTCAAGTCCATAAATTTGACAATTTTTTGGGATTTAGTACTTAAAACTTATAAATCAATATTGTAGTTCAATGATCGATTATATTTTTTAATGTAATGTTTAAATTAAAATATATTTTAATTTATTATCAAATTAAAAATATAATATATATTTGAATAAGTTCAAATTAAAATTTTATTAGATATCATATTAATAAATCTATCTATTAAATTAAGACTTATTTGATAAATTGTATTGAAATCTAAACATATTTACTGATTTATACCAAAAATATATATTTATTGAACTAATAAAATATACCACAC